ACTCCCACAGCGACCCGGACTCTTTTCATATTATGTAACTCTCAACGTATGGAACTTTTTGATGATAAATGATAACCCTACATTTCAGCCCAGGCCTCTTGGCAGTCCCATGGGAGAGAGTCTGGGCTATCAGCTGCCGCTATGAGTGCTGACGAGCAGCACATGCGGTGCCGGCCCCTCGGGCGGTCTGCATTGGCCCCGTGAAGGCTCCAGGCTCGGCCGCATGGAAGGCAGCGGAGCTCGGCCTCTCTCACGGTCAGTACAACCGTCTCCCGCTGAAAATCCCAAAGCTTCTTTCTGCAGTGGCCTGTGCCCTTGATCGGATCATCTCCAGCGCGCCCAAGACTCCATGCGCAAACGCAAACCTGAGAACAGCAACGCAGCAACACCTTCTGCACAGCTAGGCCAGTCCAAAGGCAATGTTGAGCCCATGGCATCTTAAGTCTGTGCTGTTGAATCGAGATGAGCTGAAACACTTCGCACACTCATGTGCTACATGTCAGGGTCGAATACTGATGTGAAGGAGTGCACATTGCAAGTGAATGCAGGATCTAGCAAGAAGACGTGGAGGAACCAAGGCCGAGGCTGTCAGCAGAACGCAGGATAAACAGATCAGAAGCGATGCAAAGCCTGCAGCGGGGTGCATCTCTTGGCATGGGCGGGCAGCCTTGCTATGATGCGCTGCGCTTTGGGTAATGCTCTGCGAAACGCGCAAGTTGATGTGAAGTTCCGTTGCAAGAAGCTCTGCCTGCTTCTGGGGCTTGCGGTGCATCTGGAGTTGTTTCCCGTAAAAGCCGTAAAAGCTGACCTTGCAGCAGCTAGCAGCCCCCGTCTTTCATTTCGAATCATTCGCATCCGGGGCAGGAGACGAGGGCAGATCTGGGCCCGGCACGGTCGCCTTGTAGAAGGTAAAGCACTTGCCAAGGAAGGAACGCAAAGCTTTTCTGCAGGAGAAAGGGTCTTCAGATTTTCGTGTTCTGAGGAGCCTCAAAGACAGTTGCCCGCCTCTCTCTGAGAAGAGTTCAGCTTAGTGTTGCTGTCCCAAACCTCTCCTCAGGAAGGGTTGAAACAATCAGCGGGAAGAACTGAACGTGGTTGTCATCAGCTCTGCCAGCAAAGAGCTGAGATGTATTATAAACACACATGCGAGGCTGCAAGGGATGCAACACACCATCATGCCTGAGGTCACTTCTGGCTTCAAGACTTGATTATAACGCTCAGATCTTTTGATGGGACATTCTGGTTCTTCGACGATATCCTCCGTGCAGCTCGGTGCTCGTGACATGAACTCCGCATTGACATAGGACGTAGTCCATTCGTCGATGAGAGAGAGCATCACGGTAGAGGGTGTTCCGGGAACTCCGCCCCTGTTAGCCGCGCACGTCACGCCGTCGTCACGCCGTCGTCACGCCGTTGTTCCGTTCGTTCCGTTCGTGGTGTCACGATCTGTTCTCGACTGGCCCGCGCCTCGCAGCTCTGACACGAGACGGCAAAGGGGCCTGCGTCGAGATTGTGAAGCCAGAGCCCTATAGAGTCCCAGAGCACGACTTCTGCGTGTGATCATTCACCCTTTCAGCAGTCGCACCTCCGATTCTGCTCACTGCTGCATGTGGCCCAATTCTCAGACTGCATCGTTCCTGCCAAGTGTTGCCGCCAAGACGCTATCCCGGTCTCTGATCTGGGAACTTTGTAGCAATATGGATCCCGCTGCCTCACGCGACTTTTTAGAAGCACGTCTGCGGCGAATCTCTGTGGGGTCCAACCCCTGAAATGCATCCCAATGATGAGATATGTTCCAAGATGCGTGGGTGTCGGTCGAAGGGGTGGTAAGGTCGTCCTGGCAAACGGTAGCAGCCTGCGAGTGAGAGCTGACGAGACACGGTGACAAGATGCTGGCACAGGTCGTTTTCTGCACTCCATCACGGCCTTGACAGCCGCCAGAGTCACCAGAAGCCTCGATGGAAGGGGTGATGCAGGTTGCTTCCACGCTGCAGCCTTGAAGTGCCCAGACATGCCATCGTGTCCCCTTCAGCCAAGGCACCGAAGCATGGCATGACCGGCGCCGGGGCTTGTCAGCTGTAGCCCGGGGCTGTCAGAAAAGCTGACATGGTGCTGCACCACCAGCCCCATGATCAGTTGAAGGGCTGGCATTCGGTGCTTGACCGGTGTCTGCTGAAGAATAACTGCCCATCTCTCGTCGACAGTTCTTCTTGTACAAGCAACCCTTGTGCACGCTAAGACTATGTGTTGAAGATGGTCAAAGTCAGCTGCACATTGAGCCAGGCACTGAGGAGCAGGTAGAAGCCAATTGTCGCAGCCACCTGAAAGACAAGTGAACGAATTGAAGCACTGTTTGGTTGCATGCTCACAAGCCACACTAGCATCATTGATATCACTGCATGATCGTGCCTCGAAGGTGCAGCGCTCCCCCAACTGCTGAACTGCAGCCCTGTAAGTCTCCTGCGAATATGTGCACAAGTGTCCCAGAGAGTCTGTCGCTCAGCCTTGGGCCCCTTGACCTTCCCTGGGCTACATCATGTTTCGAACAGAAATCTGACCTCAAAACTCTAATCATCATCCTTTCATGGACTGCTGCTTCTGCGTCCCTAGCAGCTCCCTTCAGAGTTCTTCCGCGCACTCCTTTGGCCGATTTTGACTGCCTCTTGCCTTCATAGCGGCAGACAAAGCACACGAATTCGGCCCCAAAGCGTGGAACGTGGCAGCACCGGGATCTCGGAAAGCTAGGATGCCATCCGTGCGGTAGTGCTAAGCATCCGACAATTTGTTGTCTCTTTGTCGACAGCTGCATGGTGCTGAGATTAAGAAGGCTCCTCGCTGACCGTCATGCCCGCTTGCAGCAGCTCATCACAAAGACGAAGTGCCTCGTCAGAGAAAGCACGTGCATGGCAAACTGGTTGCGGGATGTTGCGGGTTTACGGTTTTAGGATGTTGTTTGCTGATGCCGGCATGTTCGCAGAAATGGCGTCCACTCAAAGAGCTGAACATCGGAAGGATGGTGGTTTTGCCCCACTGGCGTGATGCTTTCAGGCGGAGGAAAGCATCCAGCTGTGCGCGTGATTGAATGCCGAATCCCCGATCGATGTATAGGTTTCTTTTGGCCGGTCGCGGACCGCGGGCCTAGGAAGTGTGCAGGCAGGGTGGGACGCGGGACGCTGACGCTAGACGCAGGCCGAGACGCATGACACGGGCCGCAGGACGCTGGACGCGGACGACGCGCGAGCCATCGCCTGTTTTGCATGGAAGCAGATTCGGGAGAAGTCGAGCTTCCAAGTATTCTGAGGCCCATCGCGCAAGATCTAATTAACAGTGTCATGATCGCCATTGCGCCGAGGATGACGGTCGAGTATGAAGATGATGATGATCATGATGATGATGATGTACCCTGCGAGCAGCGCTAGCATGCCAGGAAGCCCAGAAGATATCAGACCCAACACACCAGCGCCAGCGCGACAGCAAGACCAAGACTAATAAAGCCTAGGCCTAGAAGAGTGCACACCTACGGTCTAGGCCCACGCATGCACTGCACAAGTGCATGATTCATTCGTGAGCTCAGGGCAAGGCTACCTGTTCGTCTCTTCGCAAACGGCCGCTCACCTGCACTTCTCTATACCATGTGGCGAGAGGAGACAGATGCCGACAATACGTTTGACACCGCTGTTGACACTTTGTTGACCATGGCAGTCGTCAATGCCGTGTAGGTGTAATGTAATACATGATAAAGAATGATGTTACAGAGAAGATCGTTGGCATCGCATGAACCGCCTCACACACTCAGCAAATTGGGGGCTACAATTCCGTTGCCAGCGGTGGGAGTGGGTCCTTCAGTGGCCTTCTGAGCTTCTTCCCCGCTCTGCAGTGCATCGATCACTTCGGAGGGAAGGCCTCCAAAAGCAACCGGACAGAACGTCATGGTCCCATGCGCTGCACTCCGCATGCGCAAGGACGCTTCAGAGAGTCCTAATTGAGCATGCATGGTTTGTTGTTCAATGAACTGTTCATGATCCTTCCTGCCTGCAGCCGATGCCAGCTTCGCATGCGACCACAATGCATAAGAGGCCCCTGTGCTCCTCACCTGAGCTGCAGCCGCCTGGTCCCTTCCGGAATTTCAATCAGTCGAGACACCTTTGCAGCAGCCACTGCTGCATACAGCAAATTCCTTGATTTCGCTCCTTTCCGTTGTGCAATCGCTCTAAATCTTGAGGAGCATTTCTGGGGTGCGGACAGTTCGCAGAATACACAGCCTGGGCGTCACATAGCAATTGGTATGCGGCAAGTCTTGCCATCATGCTACAGAGAGTTTGTTTATGCTCTCACCAGACTGCTTGTTTCGCGCCCGTTTCGGCTGCGTCAGATCCAATGCCGATGCAATGTCTGGCTCCTTCAGGGCGAGCGTCTGTCTGTGCTCCCCGCTTCATGCCGGGTCCTCTGCTTCGAGCGTTTCTGCAAGGACCTGGACCTCGCCGGTAAAGCCTCCTGGTCGAGGATCCAACGAGGCTTTGCTTCCGAAAGACTCCTGACCTGCGCACTGCCAAACCCGGCTACGTTCCACTGGAGGTAGTTGCAGACGTCGCTGAGCTCCAAGCGTCTTTTCCAACGCTGGCTGCCCGGAGTCTTGGCCTTCAGCCGCTCCTCGCACAATCAAAAGCTGCTGTCTCCGTAGTCTGTAGGCTGTAGGATGCCTTTTGGGCGACTTGCGATCTGGCAGGCGAGACACAAGAGCCCTCGCACGTGCTGCTGCCCATTGGGCCTCAGATGCTCATGTGGTCACATGGTGTGGCCGCTACGTCGTGAGCCGGCAATCTTGATTCCGCATGCTGAGCACATCTGAGTATGCTTTTTTGTGGTTCGGGTTGTTCTTATATCAGTGGTGACTACGCGGGACTCCGCTGGATCCCTGATTTAGATGGGGATGGGGCGCGGGACTACGCAGGTGCTTCATGGAGAAACCTTGCCTACGCCTACGCAGCCTACGCGCCATGCCCAGGGAGTTCCTCCAGCATCTGGAACACTGCCAGGCTTGCTTTGAGAAGGAAAACTCGCACGCCCATGCTGTTGGTCATGACTTCTTGTCATGGTGGGTTCAAGCACATTCGCATCTCACCAAGCTGATTTCTGGAGATTTGGGACTGGCCTCTTCTGAATTTACTAGCGGAAGTTTACGCGAGACGATCAGAATGAACTCTAAAAGAGCTAAGCGGCTAGGAGATTCTGCTCTGCAAGGACCCGACAAACGAACTCGACAAGTCGGACCAGGCCAGAACAGAATCTGAGAACTGCGAGCAATACTGCGAGCAGCTCTCGCGACTGTGCTGCAGCAGAGCCCCAACATAAGCATAGTTTCATCGGCTTCGGTTGAGTGTCCGACACGTGCAAGCTCTGGGATGAGCTTCAACTACATTGAGACAAAGCAAGACGGACGTCTTTGCCAATAGAGAAGATTCAGATGCTACAATGCTACAGTGCTACAGCAACACCACCTTGCCAAGGCAGGAGATGCCTGCCCTCACGTGCCCAAACTAGGCACCCTGCTGGGGACTTTAGCTTCTCCGCGCTCTCTGCTCGGGCAGCAGCGGCAGAAGCGGCCTTTGAAAAGGTGCTTCCCGAATGCAAACACAGGACACTCGAACTCACTGTGCGGTCCGGACCCACTGCGCCGGCGTTATGGGTAGCTTGGCGGCTGCGGCCAGGGATTTTGCCTTCGGTTGCCTCGCACAGCTATACAACAAAAACAAGACTTCTGCATAGTCAGTTCAGATGCCTTCGTGTCCGCTCTCTTCGCAGAGCTGCCCGGCGTTTTCGCTGGGCTCGAGGTCCATCGGCAAACTTCCCGCCCACCTCACATGACAGACAGGCTGAAAGAGGACGGCCACAAAAACACCTCGCTTCGCGTCGCTTCACCTCGAACCCGCCTGCTCGATGCCGGAGGCAGCTGAGGACTCGGAGATCTCTTCCGAGGAGGAGTCCTAGCGTCTGCAAAGACTGCTCCGACAAAGACAACCAACATGCAGAGCTCGTGCATTCGAAGTTTGGTGCCACTCCTGGAGCACCGCCAGCTCTGTACCTGACATCGCGCTGCGGTATAAAAGAAGCATCGAAAACAAGAGGAACCACTCCACTTTAGGCGCAACTGTCTGAGGAGAGAGGATGTGCTGGGGCAGCTTCACTGGTGCTGCCGCAGCACGGAGCATTCAGCCTAGTTGCCAGGAACTATGTCCGGGTGCTCTTCCAAATCAACAGGCCCCAGCTCCTAGTCAAGGCAGGGCACAGGGAGTCTCGCGGGCCTGTGGGCGTGAAAACCTCTACCGGCCCTGAATCGCTACTACGCAATGAGCGTGGCTACAAAGCATTGTGAAAATGTTATGACTTTCAGGCCACATCCGACGTCCCCTCTCCTCTGAAGCCGCAGGGCGTTCCTCGAGATTCCCCTCTGCAATGTCTGCACTCTGCTCCTGGAGCTGCAAACGGTAATGCATCGACGGAGCAAAGCCAGAACATGCTGAAGCACATTTTCATGCTCGAAAGGGCCACGTCAGGCTCCGTGAGATGAAGAGCCACCAAAGCATCATCACAGTGCATGAAATGACTTCAACATAGTATGTCGGGCTGCCAATCCATACTGTCCATACTGGGCAAAAGCCGCAAGCACCTTCGATAACGATCGGTAAAGATGGCTAACGGATATGATATTGCGTAGTTCACCCCATTTTGAACCAGGCTTGCTGATACCCATGCCCGCTATGACACGGCCACTGGCATATGACGCAGTCGCATGGGCATTCAGGGCCGAAAGCAAAAGATTGCGGACACTGACCGCAGAATGAATCACTGCCGCAAGCAGCACCGGTAGAATGCATTTCGCGATGGCAAGGCCAACAGCAAATTGATGACCGTCTCTGAGTCGGTCCCCAGGCGCCATGGTGCAACACGTGGAACGGCATGGCATAATCGAGCACTTGCGCAGGATTTATCGAGAACAGGTCGGGATTTATCAAGCGCAAGGTGGGGGGGGGCGGGCCTGGCCAGGCACATGGAAGAGACTTTTCGCACACGCACAACGGACTCCCTAAACCCTGCACCCTGAACCCAAGACGGCCCTAAACAAAACCTGCGGGGTGAATGATCATTCCTGCGCATGTTCTTGATAATGCACGCGCATCTCTGATAAATCGCGTGCTTGTCTCTGAGAAAACTGGCCTTTATTCCCGAACCATGGCGCGATGAAACTCAATAAACAGCTCCCGACCTAACAGCACCATCGCAGACGGTCCGTTTGAAGGTACATGCTTCTCACTCACCCGAACCTCACACCCGCATGCGCCAGAGGCTTTCGAAACGGACATGCGGCAAGCAAATGCAATTAAATGCAAGCGCAGGGCTAACGCCGGGACCCTGGTCAAGCGAAACCCGCAAGCAAAGCGGCACCTCGGCTTCGGGGTTGAAAATCGCCGCGGCCTGCTTGGCCCAGGCGAAGAAATCGTCCTGCAGGCGCTCAATGAATTTCTTGTAAAATCCAGATCCTCTTTCTGATCCTCCTCAGGAGGCGAAGGTGGAGGAGAAGGAGTCGTGCCTGCAGAAACAAGCGAATCATTCCGTGTTGCAAGATCTTTCCGCAAGTTATGTTACTGCCTGGGCCAAGAATGGCTTCAGCGGTGGCACGCACCTCTGCAGGCAGGAAGGGCACGACCCAGCTTTTGGTGACTTGAGCTACCACAACACACTTCTGCAGAGATTATGCGATACGTGCCACCTGAATCGAACAAAGTGCCTTGTCGAATTGCTTTCACGGTCTTCGGGGTGACTAAAACGAAAGCTACTGTTGCAACCCTGCGGGAGGCACACAGGTCTTGTTTCTGAGGGCTATGGGTGCGCAGAGAGTAGCTGCCAGCAATACGAGGCTCAGCTAAGCCCTCCTGAAAGGAATCTCGCGGCAGGGATGCTCGCAAATGCAACGGGACGCTACACTAATTTCACAGTAGTTGTATTTGGAGCAATGGTAGAAAGACTAGATCAAGGTTATCACGGCAGAAATTTACGGAACAGACATTTTGACATTCTCTGAAATAAACACACCACTTGCATTACGTTGAAACTAGGCTCCGGGCCCCCGGGCAGGAAAGTCTAACTTATTAATAGCCGTAGACAGAACTAGAACGCCGTATGACCATTGATTGCATAGGGCAGAGGTCGGAACGCTACTTTTGAACTGACGTAACTGATATATTCGGACATTTCATCAAGCGGAATTGGAATCGCGGCCGTGCTCCGCCGACAGCCAAACCGACGGCGATTCGGCAACAGAATCAGGAGCGAGAGTACATGTTGTTACAGCAAGGTAACTTACTTGCCGCAAAGAACCGGTCCGAACAGCAAGCCGCAAAGCTGTCGAAACAAAAAAGCGCGTGATTGCTCTCGCCACAACAGCTTCGCACCCCTTCTACCCGCACCCCCCCTCCCCACACCGGTGATAGATTCTGATAGATCCGATCCCGACTCTTAAACATCAGCAGTAATTACAAGTTGAGGCCACCAAAAGATGTACAGTCTCCCATCCCCAGCCCCAACACCCCGTCCCCCGCCTCCGTGCCCATGCCCCCCCCCACCTTGCCTCCTGCTCCCGTTCACTTTCGTTCACTGCCCAAACAACTCCACCCTACTCCTTCGCGAAAATGGGCTCCTTCACTTTTGAGCATGGCTACGGGCCTGGCTGTAGGCTGAAGATCCTGCCTCCAAACTTGGAATGAACGAGCCTAGCCCATCCTGCCTTCCCCCTCGTCCGGCCCAAGCGCGACCCCCTGACTCTCCCTCTTCGGCTTATGTGGTAACAACGAGGTTCCAATGTATTTATTTGGCAGGTTAAGGTCTTGTTCGTTAACGGACTTAATCATAATCAGACAAGTCACACTACCGACTAAGAACGGCCATGCACCACCACC